ACTGGGCTTTGTTTTACTGCGCACAAACTTCAACTCTGGGGGTTTTGTCCTTGTCCTCGTGCATCGTCAACAGGCTTCTTAGCGAGCTTTGCTTGAGTGCCCTATACATGTATCAAAAGGAAATATAAAGTACAAGTCAGTACAATGATCAATAAACTATGGATACAAACCAATTACGTACCTTGCCCTTCTGCCTTTTTAAAGGAGGTGGAAGTCGATCACCCTCGGATTCAGTATTTGATTCGGATTGTTGATAGCCTGGAGAAGACTTCTCACTTGACTCGTGATCTAAGGAAAATGTAGATCAGATCATTGGATTGAGCTGAGCTGAGCTGATGGTAATGAAGTTAATCAAACCAATACCTTCTTTGCCATAATTATTAGCGGGTGGAGGGGTAGGTGCGCCTTTTCGTTTCTTGCTCTGTGTCCCAAAACCTTCATCTCCGTTGGCTCAAAGATTTTTTTCAGGCATAATTTGAGATACCGCTTGATATTGTGGAAACCCAGAGTTCTTGATAGGAATTGCATCACTATCTCCAGACTTAAGTTTAACAGTAAGCAGAATAAGTTGAAAGTAAGAAACAATAAAAAATAATTAAAGAAATGATTTACCTTCTTGATCCATTCATCCCACCAGTCCTTCATAGCTTTAACTGTTCCAGTCGTGTCATCAGTTCCCGGAGCACCTGAAGAGTCTTTGATCTTATCGAAAGCCTTGCATGTAGTCTTGAGCTGAGTTGGAGATTGTACAGAACAAAGTTGAATCGAGAGAATCAAGATTGTATGAGGAAGAAGTAAGAAAAAAGAAGAACAAAAGGAAGAAGGGAGAAGAAGGAAAACAAACCTTCTGCATGTGATTTTCAAAGCGTGTTAATTTGTGATTCGTTTTAAATTTTGTGTTGTAGTTCTCACACACTATCTTCCAGGCGTCCGACTTGATTCCACCATCGTTTGCTTTACCAATTGCAATTTGCTGTGCATATTCTTCAATGAAGAAAAGGGACTCTCGGAGAGTCCACACACCACCAGTACTATCTTCAGCTCCTTCTTTCTTCTTATCTTCCTTCTTCTTTTCATTTGATTTTTTCTCTGATTTTGATTTTGATTTTTCTTGATTTTTTTTGATTTGACTACGGGTTTCTTTGATGTTGATGGCTTGATGATTGATTCCTTGTCACTGCTGGTGGCTGATTCCTCATTATCGCTGGACATCTTGATGTCGAAGAGTTTTTGATCAAGTAGAAAGGTGGTGATGGAGGAGTGAAAGGCAAAGGACAAGCGTGTTGTAGATTGAGGTAAAGGGTTTTGTAGATTGTACAAGTTATGGTGTTATACAGAAAAGTATGGTTTTGTAAAGTTTTGTACGGTGGACGTGGACTTGTCCATTTTCATTGAAAAGATAGAAAGTGATTTCTATGATGAGAATCAGCTAAAAGCTAATTCTCAAAATCGGGACAAAAATCGATTTTTTAAGGCATTCTACGATTTATAGAATGTGTGAAATTAAGAAATCGAACGCATTCTGTAGAATGTGATTTTTGGACTTCACAAAAAGAGATTTCTGGTCAGAAATTGCTTAGGGCACGTTTGGTTGCGATTTTTTTTGGCGATTTTTTTCAATAATCGCAGTCGAATTTCAAAAGAATCACAGTTGAGCCAAAGTCGTTTGGTAGCAATTTTGGGCCTAAAAAATAATCTCAATCCCCGTTCCAAAAGTAGCTTTTGGGTACCTTTTGGATAATCTCAAAAAGGGAGATTATCCAGGCCATAATCTCTATTTGGGACTTGGCAAAGATTCTCCTCGATCTCCCTTGACGTCATCACTACGAGTTCCAAACCTTTTTGGAACTCTTCGACGTCGAGCTCACTTTGAATCAAATTGATCAAAGTATCAAAGATCATCCTCGATCCCTTTTCTCTTTACCATTTCAAGTCAATCAAGACCTCTTTTTTACAACTTCATCTCTTCATCTCATTTCAAAAAGCACTAACCATGCCTCGAGCTCAGAAAGAAAAAAAAGATAAGAAAGATAAGAAAGATGAGAACAATGAGAATGAAGAAGATCCAACTGAATCAAAAACGGAAAAGGCCAAGTGGACTGATTACAAGGTTCGGTTCACGTTGAATGAATTCATAGTCGAGAAGGAAAATGGAAATATGAATGGCACCACCTGGAAGCCGATTGCCTTTGCAAACGTCACCAAAAGATACAATACGGCATATCCAGAGGAACCTATGACCAAAAGGCAAATCAAGAACATGTACACTGGAGTAAGTACATTCGATTTTCTTGCTCGATTCTATGATACTTAGTCTCCTTGTCTGTCTATTCAGAGAAAAAGTACGTACAGTAAGGCTTGCAGATTGAAGATGAACTCGGGAATTGGCTGGGTTGATGGTGAATGCCGGATTGATATGCCAAAGCAATGGTGGGATGAGACCGGTGATGTAAGTCAATTTTGTATAAGATTTATGTTGATATGACTTGCTCACCATTCATTACTTGTGTACACTAGAAAGACAAGGATGCCAGTGGATTTCGAAATCAAACCTTCATCTTTTATGACCAAATGGACAAGATACTACATATGTCAAAACCTGCTGGGGCATTGCGTACTGGCACAAGCAGTAGCGTGCGAGTCAAAGCGAAGAAAGGGAAGGAGGAGGAGGACGAATCAAATGACGATGAAGATAAATCAGATGAAGATAAATCAGACAAAGATGAATCAGACAAAGAACAAAAAAAGAATAAAAAAAAAGCAGACAGTGAACCCAGAGATGCTCAAGGATTAACAGCAGCTGAACGAGCTCTAGATGATGGTTCTAATGATGGTGAAGATTCCATTCCAGAGCTCACTGTTGATTCAGGTAAGTCAATCATTTTATATCATATTTAAGTCTTCCATGCTCATTGAATTGTAAATAACTCCCAAGCAACTCGTACGAGCAAGTCAAAGAAAGGAAAGGAGAAAACTATCCGAGTCGAACTCTCTGATTCGGACTCAGAAGAAGCTTCAACTTCTAGAAAGAAACAACCCGCCTCCAAAAGTAAAATCAAAAAGAAAACACCCGCGCGCCAGGTCAAGCCAGGCACGCTAGCAAATGCCATCGCTGAAGCTTCAAAAGACTCGGTCGAGAAGGCAAAGGATGCCCTCAAACGCGATGGACTCCGGGTAACCGCCTCAACCGATCGTGATCGATCCATTGAGGAAGCTGCTCGCATCAAAGCTGAGAAATTTCCGCATCAACAGACTGCTATGAAACTGTTCAATCTCAAGAGTGCTGTTCATTTCCCCATTTTCAAAGATTGCCACATAGCAATCAATGTCCTCAAGCAGGAGGCTGAGGCTGGTGTATTTGAAGGTTTGAGTGATCAAGACCGCTGGGAATGGTTAAAAGAAGAAGTTTCGGAAAAGAAGAAAAAACAGGCAAATGAGATGTAGTCATGATATGTTTATCCCTAGCTAGCCAACAAGCATACAACGTGTTTCTATTTCAGTTGTGAAATACATATGTATATTTTTATTTTGGTCCATCTCGTTCTGATCAATTGCAATTGTGAATACAACTTTGGTGTTTATGACCAATTATAGATAATAATATGTAGTTAATCATGAATTATGATCCATAAAAAACAGATTTGAGGATTGATAGTCCGGAGCCCAGCGAGACCGCCTAGTTTCCACTACACACAATCAGAGATAAGATAATGAGGTAAGGTTGATAAAAAACATTTAGAATTCAATGATGATTTCGGTGGGCTCGATAATGAGCCCACATTCTCTCTGCAATGTCGTCTTGCTGAGCGTTTGCAGCAGCTCGGTCGCGTCTTCTGGGAGGTACAAAGTCCTCTTGGGCTTGTTGAACCCAAACACGATCTCGATCTTGTTGTTCTTGATCAAACTCATCGAAAAACTGGTCTTCACCACCTCGCATGATGAGGTTGTGAAGGACTGCGAGGGCAAGAACTAGAGATCCTTGTCGATGAATTGGAAAACGTCGCATTAAAACAAGTATTACAAATCTAATTTTGAATACACCAAAGATTCGTTTGATGATCATTCGGAGTTGAGAGTGGCGGTAATTGAACAGCTCCTGATAGTTTTGTGGTGCAGTCCGGCCACGAGCCCACTCTTGGATGTGATAACGGAAACCACGGTATGGCGCTAAGATGCCATTACCGTTTGCATACGCTGCATCACCTAGATAGAAGCGTCCTGGAAGAAAAAAGGCCCAAAGTCAGAAGAAAACTATGAAAATGAAACTATGAAATGAAAATAAAACATACCTTCAGGAATGACAAAGTCACCCTCATGCCTTGCAGCGTATAGTACATCAGGATCGGATGTACTTCCTTCAAACCCCGCGAGTATGAATGAAAAGGTGAGATCAAAGGAGCATGCTGCCAGAACATTCTGGGTGAGCAACCCCTTTCGATTTCGATACGGAGGCTGATCGGCGACCGCCGCTCTCACCGGGATATGAGTCCCGTCAAGAGCACCAATGCACCCATCGAAGAAAGGTGAGTATCGGTTGTTTTTGGAGATGCGGTCAGGAATAGGGTATTCAGGCCCTGGTTGAGTGATTATATTGTCTTTCAAGCCCTCAAGAACATCAAGGACTTTGTTGTAATATCTCGAGATGGTTTCACCAGAATGCGGCCATCATTCAGCTGCAGTGGCGTTGGTAGATGCATTTCCAACTATATATAAAAATATCATAACTTGCTTGTTGGCTGATATATGAATTGTATCGTCAAGATGTGGCTGTAGAATCTTCATGATTGACTTGAAGGTGGCTTTGTCCATCCGGCAGACCTGTCCAAAGCGTCCTGGATGACCTTCGATCAGTTCTCTTTCGTAGAGAAAACCCTGAAGAGCAGAGGTGTGATATGGTTGTTTTGGAAGCCCTCGTCGATAAGCCAGATCACGAGCGTGCTCAAGCAAAAGGTTGAGGACAAGCTCATCGTCATCTTCGTCGGATGAAGGCCACGGGGATCTTAGATTGAGACTTGAATCAGAGTCAGAGTCCGTATTGGACATCTTGGAAAGGGTAGATGTGATGGACGTGAAGGTGAGTTGAGGTAAATTTGAACTCGGTTTGGGTTTTCTACCAAACGTGATCTTGGCAAAAGGAGTCCAGATTGAGATTGTTTCGAAATTTGAGATTTTTCGACACAATCTCAATTGCCCCGGGGCGAAGTCACGGACCCCAAATTGAGGTAACCCGTTGCAATCGCAACCAAACGTGCCCTTAAGTGAACGCGCTCTGAGAGACACCACTACCCGCAGACACAAGCACCAAAAGAGCTTATACAGACATGCATCTCAAGAATGTAAGATGCATCCCAGGGATGCAAAGTCTGATAGCTACTTTTTATGGATAATCAATGGAGGAGTTATGATAATGTTGAACTCTTCAAGTCAAGTTGAACTCTTCCAGCAAGTTCCCACCATAAAAATGTGGAAATTATGACGAGATCATTTGATACTTTTGGCTTTTTTAATCGATTGATCTATTCAAAAAACTAAAATCGGGTTTGAAATAATCAAAATACTCAAATCGAGTTGGTTCTTGTATATTTCTTTTGAATCAAATTAATTTACTTTTGACCTTTCATTCCATTTCTTTTGCTCCAAATGTTGCAATGGACCATTCATATAACTTGACAAAATCTTCAAATTGAAGATTTCACCATATTGCTGGGATAGATTTCAAGCGGTTGACAATGTTTTTGAAAAGCATGATGGCAAAAGACAGAAGAAAACGGTAGTGAGCTTGGATGGGAGTCGATTGCAAGTCAGACAAACGCAGGGGTACTGCTTCAGGCAGATTGATCAAGACACGGTGTACACAAAGCTGTACAGCCGTTGTCTCCCGTTGTCTCCCAGCAAGACTGATACGGCTACTCTCCGCTGTAAAGGGTATAATGATCACATCTGGCAGGGAAGACAGTGCTTTGCACACATGTGATTCATGTGCCACACACACCAAAAATAAAAATTACAAAAACCCACCTCCATCTAAAACATCACCAACCATAGAAACATGGTGGTACCACTCCCTTCATTACTCACTTTCACCCAACAATGGTGTCAAACAACCAACCTCATCCATGTAAGTCACAAACTTATGTCCTACCTCATCTTCAAAACTGACTCAGAATTGTGTTACAGAGACATTGTTCATGATTCAAGGCTCCCCAAACTGAAGAAGTATTGGTGCACTCCCTGCCCAGGTTGTAGAGGTTTTCAAGAATGCTAGCATCATGTTCACTCCTTACCACATGCTGATATTGTGGCACGTCATTCTGCACAAGAGCAACCAGGAGAGTCAGATCAATTGATTTTTAAAGAAGCTGAGGATATAGTAACTATCAGACCCAATCCCTATATCTAGCACCAATGGGCTTAAAGATAATAATAAAAGAATAAAAATAATACTTACAAATCATGGCTCAGTTTCAAGAGTCAATTACATATGAAATTACATATATTTACATGTGTAATTACATATGTACAGACATGTGGATCTATATGAGAGATTACCCTAAGTATAATAAGCTTTCACAAGCCTCATCACATGAGTAACACAGGAGTTACACTAGGGCTGTGACCCAACCCTGAAATTTCAGGGCTGGCCACTTGGCTAGACCCAAGAGCCTTCAAAGTCACACAGGGCCAACCAGGGCACACTTTCAGTGCTTTATGGGTACAAAAATGTGGTACAATCCAATGATTTACTTATTTGGAGCCTATATGAGCCTACTTGCACATCAAGAAGATCTATAATGTCCTGTATTGTTAAAGAAAAACAACGGGCACCCGGGCGGGCAGGGCCGCCAGCGTGCCCACAGGGCTTTTGTGGCTAAACCTCAGAGTGACAGGGCACAAACTGTCAGCTTTGTGAATATGGTTGGGCACAGTTGGCCAGGCATGGCCGGGTCCAGGTCACAGCCCTAAGTTACACATGTGTGTAATAAATGTAATAATTACATAATTCAAATATGATTACATACAACAAATGAGTATGTAATCAAACCACAAGTTGTGCGTAAGGGATTTTCTGGGTTATGAGTATATAAAGAGCTCTTGCACCTGCCAGGAAAATTAATCATCTTCATTACATTCAAACAAATTATCAACAAACCTTATCAATCAGATACATCAGAGTCCTTGTCCTCATTTATTAGAGATCATGCATTTCTCCAATTGATCATTTCCTTTGTTGTTTGTTGAAGTTCTTTCAAAGACTGCTTTATTTTTGTCAGGAGGTAATCCTAGAAGTATTGCTCAAGTTATTAAAGGGATTCAATAACTTGAGAAACTTTAAATTCACAGAAGTCCCTCTGTGTTCAGAGTCTAAAGAACTTCAAGATATCATTAGGTGATATTTCCCTTGCTTAACAATCCTAGAGTAGAGTGTAGTTATCTTGGGCACAACACTGAGTACCAGTAGTCTTTTATTATCCGGCTAGAAGACTCCAAGTCTTGCCTTGATCCCTAGATTTGTATCCAAAAACCTTTGTTTAACGGTCAACTAACTGAAGTCAGTGCTGATTTGATCACACTACTTCATAGTGAGCTAAAACAAGGTTCTCACACACTTAATAAACTTGGTTTATTATCCCACCCTTTTATTTAGTGGTTTATTAGCCTAAAAGATGCTAGTAGCTCACAGTAACTCCCCAGCAACATTCTGCAATTCAAAGTTCAACCCCCAATATAGCTCAGACCCACCTGATTGGCACAATCACCACTTTCATTCCTGCACTGCCTAGGAGCTGGTGATCCGCTTGGGTTATACAACAGCTTGGATTGCTCAGACAACATATTTGATTCTACTAGCCTTGAGCTTGTGTTTCAAGCGTCAAACATGAAGTGGAAGATCAAGGTTTGCACCAAGACAATGAAGAATCTATTGAAGATGACACTTTGGACAATTCACATAACAAGACAGGCTCACGGTATCCCTTGAAGAAGAAATAGTTGAATTTCTGACCCCACATTGACCCCTTGCTTTTGCAAGCCCCCCCCTTTGCACTTGTGGGGCATTGCCGCAACCCCGCATGGACAGTGTCAGCACTTAACTGCAAATAGTGGTGGTTAGCTCAAACAACTGTGGGGTTGGCCAAAATTTGGAGAGCCATGTTCAATTCCCATATTTGGCATCATAGAACTTGTGCTTGTTGTGTTAAAGTCTCTGTCTTCTTGAATTGTCTTTTTCTTTCTCAATTCTTGTGTCACCTTCATCAAAGCGTTTTTTTGAATTTAAATGTCTCAACCTCTGATGCTCACTCACTTCTTGAAAAAGAGCAGTGGCCATTAAAAAAGTGCAAGAAAAGATAGTTGAGAAAAGGAGCAGGAATGATCAAAAGGAACAGCAACAGTTCAAACAGAACGGTAACAATCAAAAGAGAGCACCAACAATTCAATCATGAGGTAAGAGTTGCCAACTCAATAAACTTATTATTTCCAACTCATGATTGTTCAGCTTCTGCTGCTCAATGTGTTTGCTGAGCTTTCTTCTGGTTATCAAAGGCCATTGTGAGGTGTGGGTGGCCTGGGTTTTGTGGTTGTTTAATAAAGCCTTAATAAAAGTATTCAAAGGATTTGGTGCAAGTGGTATAACAGAGACTCTGAGAGATGCATTGCCAAGGTTTCTTCTGGTTCCCACCCATCCTAATTGTTTTTAAAAAACTGCCAACAAATGGGCCCAGGGCCAGCTGAAGTCAGGTGTAGCACATAGTAGACTTTATCTACTGTAATTGATTTTTTTTCCCATTATATCACACCGCGGGAATTAAATAGTTCAAACCCGGATTGAACTGAGTTTTGGTGTCCGGGTTCGAAATTTCCTCGAATTGTGAAATTCGTTCACGACTCGTTTGCAATACGTTTGCCGAATTCCCTCAAGCGGTACTCTGCTTGGCCTGTATATGTACAGCTACATCATACAACAACAACGCCCTTCAGCATCAGTCACCAAGGATTCACCAATTGTACAGAGGATCAAGAATAAGATTCAAGACTGAGGATGCATGACAAAGGAAAGATGATTGAATGGTTGGAATCAGGGTTGTTGTTGTATGATGAAGCTGTACATACACACGCGGGGCCAACATAGTACCACTCAAGGGAAACCGGCAAACCTATTGCAAACAAGTTGTGAACGAATTTCACGATTCGAGGAAATTTCGAACCCGGACACCAAAATTCGGTTCAATCCGGGTTTGAACTATTTAATTCCCGCGGTGTCATCTTCATTGTTCAAGGTCTAATGTAAGTTTCCTCCGAGTCCTAGGATCTTAAAGCCAAATACATAACCACTTTACTTGGGGCAGGGCTCAAAGGAAGTATTACTTGATCATCAGAGAACAGCCAAATAGTAAGGTATATCTGATGATCTTTGCAAAGGATCTACAGACTCATCTGCAGACTCAATGGAAAACATATGCAAAGATAAATACATAGCAATGTTGTTGGTCTTTTCTTGACCTGTTTTTCCATGTTGTATTCACAGAGCCTGAGAGTTCATTTTCACCACTTGCTATACATCAGTTATGGCTCAGTCCAAGAAAAGAAACCCGTTTTGGATCTATAAAATATCATCTTGTTGGAGAAAAATGATATCCCCATTGGATCACTTGTACAATAATTCCAGAATGAAATCTCTCATTATCTCACTTAAATTTTGCCTTTAACAGAATTCAATCAGATCATGAGTGTTATTTTTTGATCATCTTTTCTGGTGTTTAGTGTTTACTGGTCAATCGCCTTGTGATTCAAGGGTTCTGATCTCGTTGAAATTATATACACGAGGTCTTGGGCGGCTGCGCCGCCCCTTAGACATGACGTGACACGGCCAACTTCGTCACGATGATACACTTCACCAGACCAAACTCGCTTACATACACATATGATTCAATTTTATACACGTGAGTAATACAGTCTGGGACCAAGAAAAATATGAACAAATATACAACGGCAGGCAACAAACACCGCGCCTTACGCTTGTCCCCGCCACTGCATCCTCTCGAGCTCCAGATTTCGCAACTCTAGTGCCTTTGGCGACGCCTGCAGGCCCTTGAGCGACAACGCCTCGGTGCCAAACCCCGCTGCCTCCGGCTCCTCCGCACACCTCGTCTCGGCCTGACCAATCGCACCGCTTACACCTACCGTGATTCTGGTTAGCACAAGCCTTTCTCCCGGCACAACATCACAGCCATTACTAACCATTATCTCCCATTGCCCCCGTGCTACGTCGTACCCGACGACGTTTCCACGCAAGCCTACGACGTTGTTGACATCGAGAAGATCCATGGGCAGGCTTGATCCGAGATTGACATCAAAGATGTATGTGACATTGAACTCCACCATTCTCGCCTCCTGTTTGCTTCGCACAATATTAATCACCCGAACCCCATATCAAGATCAAGCACTTACCGCAGGATTTCAATTCCAATGCATAACCACACAAACCTCTTCCCTTGGTCCGCCACTTGGCCCTGGTCTCCCAAACCACTCAACTATCTTGCCAATTCCGTTAGTTGTTACCCCGTTGACTAAGGACGCTGGTTGGATGTTTACATCTTCAAGTCGAATTCTGCCTGTCGCCTCCTCAAACAGCGTCGTCCTACCCCCTAGGCCTGGCATCACCGGGCCCTCGAGCTTGTAAGTCTCTTCATTCCGAAGTGAACTTCCTTGTCTTCGACTCGCCACCAGCAAACCGGAATGATCGAAGCGCGTGCGGCGAAAGAATACGTGGCTATTGTGGTAACGGAACCTGCCGCTTCCACCCTGTTCGTCAATCAACTGAAGTAGAAGGTCAGCATCGGCAATCACAATACATGACTCGCACTCACTCGATGTCCAAGACGAAATATACTGGAGAATCGCAATGGGAACCTTGTCTCAGGATTTAGTTGCATTGTCGACGTGAAAGGCTGTTGACTCAATCGAAGTTGCTTTAATCGTATTTGCTTCGAAACTTTGAGAGAAATGCTCAGGCTACGATTCAGCGAATCAGACAATCGCGGACCACGGCCATTTGTAGCTAAACACTCAAACGTCACCTCACTCCGACAGCGCGCGCCACACGAGTATGTGGTGTAGTTAAAAACACGCTTTGGACCTCGAGGCGTGCGTGACCCCGGCTATTCTTCACAACTCCAAGCCACTTACAATCCTACAGACCAGACCAGTCAATTGCTTGTAACAGATCACGTTTGAACTCGTGATTCACGACTACCACCTCTAGAAAGACTACAATTTGCCATCAACATAGGTTAGACTCATCATCAATTGTTATCCGTACTGCAGTCTCGACCGGCCAGGCCACATTGTTATACCAATCGGGCGAGTCAAACTTCCAACACTTCCATTTCACTACAGTTTACTGTTGTGCCTCGTTCAATGATTCGAGCTGCAACCGAACCGGACGAATCATAGTCTACCAGAAACCAAATTCACGGATTATCCTGGGTCACGTGTCCCGAATCAGACGGCCCATCTTTCATGTCTATAAGGCTTCATGTACCTAGTGTTCGCTCCCTTCATTAGAAGAACTAACCTTACCAAGAAGAGTGTGTCATCATCCGCTTCCACCATGAGTCAACCTGCTCAGTCCATTCATTGAAGCTCGGCTCGTTACCAACGCCTTGTGTCTCTGAATCAAGGCTTCAATGAATTCAACTTCGTTACAACAATCCAGACTTGACGTCACTTCCCATCCCACGGACCAGTCCGGCACTGATTGTAATTCCTACTCCGCGGTTATCTCTATCGAACGCCAACGACGAGGAGCACAACACGTCCATGTTGTACTCACTCCTTGCCTGGACATAACCTCCCATCCAGACTCCAAATTGTGAGTCTCAGTTCACTTCGGCCCTGCTTAGATTCTCCCACATCTGACGCTCCTATGCACAGACTGCGGCCAATTAGGTCCAACTCGGCCTGACTTCGAATGTTTCACGCATTTGTCTCATCCGAGCCACTCACCGCGGTTTAACGCTCCATACTCTTGTTCCACATGTGCGCTCCTCGTTGTTCCTATTGCTCGCCAAACTCGCTTGAAATGATATATACGTGTTTCAGCTCAGGCCGTCCCGTACGATTCTAAGTCGTCCTGATCATGCTTCAAGACTCATAATGGAATTGCCTATCCGCGCCTCCCCCACCATCATGTCTCCCTGCACTTAAAAGGCGTTCCTTTGAAGTGGCCCAACCATCGTCCGCGACACGCAGTGAGCCTGAAACGCGTGACACTGCCATTCCACAGTTGATACTGGTCAGCCAGCACTCCACTCCGCTCCTCCCAATGGCGCACCATTACGAAAGATTAAGAGTTACCCTTGATGGGACATTCACTCTAGGTGACATGGTAAGCGTTTCCCTCGAATGCGATGTACACACACTGACATCAGTCCAGGTTGAAGCGCCTACACACGATCGACACTTACACGCCAGGCGATTCTGGACACATTTAGTCGACTCGCCCGGTTCCACAACTACCATGTCCATCATTGTCTGCGAGCCCTTCGGTCAATACTTCTTGGACACAGACCGGTCCTTTGCTGCTCGTGGCAATCTCATTCTTCGCCCTTATCCAATTGAGCCGCTTCTGCATGTTAACTCCAACCATTACCTTGAATTATCAACGCATGTCAAAATGGACATCAGTGAGACTAATAATATCAGTGTCACCGCTCTCGGTAGGGTTCTTTCATGTGACCTTTCAGACGACGAATCGCACTGGAACCTAGTCATGGCACATCGCGACTACGAACCCAATGTGAGTTAACCAAAAGTATTGCCTCAGAACGTAGACTGATACAATCCTCCAGGACCGATTCCACTACCACTTCACCATCCGGTACTTGGTCACTGCATGGATGATGACGAGTTGTCCTCCTGGGACCTTTGCCGAAGGCGGCCTTCTCCGTGTCTTAGGGTTTATCGTATCACATGGACCGGATCCCGCGACGTGGCTCATTCGAGTAAGCACACCTGCACTCGTTTTTTGACCACACTGACCTTGACCCTTCAGGCCTTACATGTGCGCCTAGTTGATCATCACAACGACGAAGTGTAGCTGCTGGAGCACATCAGAACCTCTAAGCTCACTTGTCCTGAATCCAATTGGTCACACAGACGCAACATTTCAACAAAGACTTACAACACGCGCGATCTGATTCGTTATATTACAATTGGTCATTACAATTATGATACAAGTAAATGCTTCTCTCTGATTAATTACATTCCAAGACTCCCTTGTATACAACATTTGTTGTAGAATACTCTTCCTCACTTTCAGACACCACAACACTTGTCCCAGAAGCAGATGTACATCTTGACAATCCAACATACAGCTGCCCGTGCGCGAACACCGGCGTTGGCAAAACCAGACAGACGCTACTTAATGTTTGCCCCTGAGACTTGTTGATTGTCAACGCAAAGGCCAAAGAGACAGGGAACTGAAACCGGTAAAAGGAGATAGGTGCGGCTTCATTCCCGGGGTGATGCAGTACCATCATCGGTAGTGAGACGCTCCTCCCACTCTTTGCGCCGTTGACGATTAAACACTGAAGTGCATGTTCAGAGATAGCTGTTATCAAAAGTCTTGTTCCATTGCACAACCCAGTCGCGAGGTTTAAGTTTTGCAGGAGCACAACTACACAACCCACCTTGAGCTTGATAGTATGGTGAGGGAATCCAGCAAAGTCGAACGTGTTCAGGATATCAGCGGTGACATGTTGTTCATTTTCTTCATCGATGTGGTCTATAGAGTCATATGTCTTGACTGCACCCTCGATCGACGCTAAGATGGAGCTATTGAGTCGCCCAACAGTCTGATTCAGCGGCGTAATTATTGCTCTCGCCCCATAATATACACCTAGCTGCTCCCAAACGCCCCGTCGAATCATGTTGTTTGCTCCACCATAAAAATTTTTGATACTCGCCGCGTTCAGTGCATTGCTAGGTTTGACACTGGTACACTCGACATGATGTAGTTTGACTTTCTCCTGAGTCTGCGACTGAAGCTCCCCTGATCCCAGCCTGAGCAACCACTGCGCGAAGTCATCTTGATTACATTCACCTCGCTCGTCTTCTGTCGTGTTCCGTAGTCGCATGTTCATCGTCAGCTTGAATTCTTCGGTGTCGTCCCAGAGATATGAGTATTTCAAACACGCTCTCACAGAATCCATCACACTACCATGCGGGACCACTGGCAATATCTGCCTAAAATCACCCGAGAATAGGACTGTGATCCCCCCGAATAACGTGTCGACGCCTCGTAAGTCTTGGAGAGAACAATCGACGCATTCAATTGAGTGCTTATTCATCATCGAAATCTCGTCCCAGACGATAAATTGAGTCTCCAAGAGGTGACAACCCTTCTTCGTCGAAGGCGAGAATTGGCATGTCGATTCTTCATTAGCGTTCAGTGGGATCATCAGCATAGAATGAGCGGTTGCCCCTTCCAACAGCAGAAGCGCAGCAATACCGGAGGAGGCGACTGAAACAAATGTAATGTTATTCGCGTTGCAATAATGGAGACATGTGTTCAGAAGGAACGTTTTCCCACACCCTCCGGGTCCATCCACGAACATAACGCCTCCAGTCTTGGACTTGATCCTTGCGCCTACCGCTTGATATACTTCCTGTTGCTCGGCAGTAAGCTGTGGGACCGAACACCTCAAGAACTCCTCGCTCTGCTCAACAGTTGCCCCGTTGAAGTCCATTTCGTCGGGCGTGATACCTAGGCTGAGTAGGAGGTCCCAATTGACAGCTTGGAGTCCTACTTCATCTAGCGACGAACCCATGTCCACAAGCGTGATCTCGAGAAGTGAAAGACCGTGATGTTCCAATTGAATATCGGTCGGAGTCATCGTCGGCCTGGTTAGGGCTAATCTGTACTGACAATCATCCACCAAGTTCTCCACGTGTTTATCCCAGAGTGATTGAGGATCTGCAGGGGGACTGTGCACGAGAAGGATGGCAAACATGTCGCGCAGCTGTCCCCCTGTTTTGAACTCAGCCGCCTCTGTGAGACAGGCGTCGTAATGCGCGTCGCTTAACAGTAGACCACGTGCGTTTGCCGCTCCTCGATATGTCGGGTAAAGGACACCATTGACCGTTCTCAAGTCTTGGAATGATTTCGCACCGCGTGTGTTTGTCAAGAGCAGACGAAGGTAATACCGGTCTCCGTGCCCTGGTTTGGCGAAGTACAATCGTGAAACAGTTGCGGAATCCTTGACTCGTCGAGACCATTCCTTCTCGGACTTGTTCCACCAGAAATATTTCGTCATCTCCGTGTAGAGCAAAGAACGGGCAGTCAAGATTGTTCGGTCTATTCGCAAGTTTTCCGTACACAATCTCATATACTCCGAGAGTGTCGTTCGCGTTGCTCGTCCTGAATCGAGCGCAGCTCTCAGTCCTTCGCGGCTCCTGAAGTAAACCATTTGGTTGTGCTCGTTGTGAAGTGTTAAGCGAGTTATAGCTGGGTGACGTCCTGACAACGAATACTTTAGCAACCTCCACGCAGCTGAAGCAGATGTCAGTACCCATCAACGAACGGCGTGATTGCGGAGCTTACCTTCAGCCGCTCCAAGAAACCTCGCATCCACGTAGTCTGTTGGCTCGTTGTCTGTTTCCAAACTGAGATCTTGACGATCGTGGCCTTTAGCGATGTATTTGTATAGATACTTGACTGCCTTCATGCTGACAGCGATTTCTACATTGATATGGCATCGGAATTTCAGTAGCAGAAATGGATTGTAGGGAACAATGTCTCTGTTTGTATAGATTCGACCGTTCTTCTCAAATGAAACACCATTGTCGGGCCTCCTGTACTTGGGGTACGCACCCTCGGTCATGATAGTTGACTCCTGGAATGGGTGTGGAAAACCATATTTGCACTTGGTTCCATTCCAACAACTTCTACCTTCACCACACGGTCCGTGAACCATGTACTCCGTTACCAGCGAGTGTAATAATGGCTCGGATTCTTGGTCAGGGATGGTCGCACGCACAAGCAAGTCGATGTCTTCCGGCGTCTTTGGTGTTGAAGCTTGATCGAGTATCAAAATGTTGTGTGTATGCGGAGAGCCACGCTTCTGGAATTCTACCGTGTGAACGTCAGAAACACAAACTCCCAATCTCCCTTGCTTTATGACATCGCGGTGCAGTTCCTTTAACTTCATGTGATATACCCTTGCAATCAAGTCTGGACAATCCTCAGGCAATTGACCTTCGAACAGCGTATCAGTGATCTCATCCCAGTGTGTATTTGCAGTCATCGTAATGAAGAGGCTCGGTCGTCCAAATGCCTTCACCAATGCCATTGCGTCCTGGTAGAGTTGATGCATATGGCGTGGGCCGCCAATAAACGTCGCTGGTAGAATCACGTTTCGGCCGATCGTCAAGTCTTGATTATTCAATGCTTCTGTTGCGCCGTTGTACAGCTCTGCTCTCAACTTAGGTTGATTTTTGCTAATGAATTTAAGCCTTGCATTTTCAATACATACATACATGTCAACCAGATATTCTTGAAACAACCTCCCACCCCTTAAGATTGCTGAGAACACGCCCGGTCGCTCGAACAGAGTATAAGCAAACCACTCAAGCGCAGTTACTTTCCCAGAAATACCTGTCATTAGAATGTTAGTACTTATCAAATTCAGTTCAATAGGATTCTGCTTACGTTTCTCGGTGAAATGTCTGTAATGCTCGTCCCATCCGTGGGACCCATACATGAAGAATAGCGGGTAGCAAAGCGAAAAGTAATTTGTGTTCAATTCTGAAATCCGCTGCAATTCGCCCGATTGCCTGTGGAGAATGATGTCGCGGTCTTTTGCGCCAACCACGCCGTCGCCGGGTAATATTGCAGCAATTTGACTGCACGTTGGGTAGTTGTACCGATTAGTGTTCCGCCCGTGTCGCTGTAGTGACTTGATCTTGATTGTTTTCACTATCCCAGGTGCCAAGATGGCTTCTGCTGCCTTGTAGAGCTTCGCAAATGGGTTGTTGTGATACAAAAATGCTTGAATCGTTGCAAGAGTTTGAATATTCATGCTCGAATCGGTCGGCTTTCGCAAGGCCAGCTCCTCCTCTGCCTGATCACCAAATATGAACATTTGGCCGAATGTCTTCGCTGCACCTTCGACTGGCAGTAGTGAGCCAATTAAGTGCGTCAACGAGCCCTTGATCCGGTAAGTCCATGCGCCCCCATTTCCTAAAACGGTTTTGTCTGGCTTGGCAGCAGTGGAGGTGAACAATACTGCATTGTTGAAGGTTCGGATATTCTTCCTGAAATTCTTGGACACTGAGGAAGTACAATCAGCAAGGGCGAAGACGCTGTGCAAGGCAACAAGCTTACTTTGATCTTGATCAGTGAATAGTCAACGTAGGAAGCTAGGAGTAAGTCCATCTGCAAGATGATCGCTGGGGAGTGCCACAGCTCCCTGTTGGCAGCATGTTGAGTAACTGACGGACGCTGCAGACATGGTCCTTTGAGTACGCTTGAGCTTCCAATGTAGCGCTCCGCAAGTCGAACAGGGGTCGTTGCAAAGGCCAATGTTGTATGGGATTTGGCTACGGAATCGAGCGATGATGCTAACTTCTTTCGTCTCTTCAATCGTCGCAGACGCCAGTCCACATCCTGTCACTTCGTCTTCATCTTCTGATTGGGAACGATCGGATTCACTGTCGCTACTCATGCTGATGAAGGAACGAGACGTTGAGGTGAGCTCTTCTGATCCGGTGATTGTCGTGTCACTACAAATTTAGCTGAGAGTTGGATCGATTTGAGCGGGAGTCTATCTGAGGGATGAATAACGTGGAGCGTGCTAAATAGAAAAGCGAGAGCCCTCTTTATTTGTGGTCTGTTGGTGCGAAACAACTGAATCGAAGTGAACAGTTCAATCTCCTTGTTAGCTCCCAGAGACGGTATTGCTAGTTTGTCAACCGCTTGGACTAGTCAAGTCCTGACCAAGGTTTAAGTCTGCAGCTAGTATTGTCATTGCAGGGAAACGGATAAAAGAGACTATTACAATTGCGAAGAAGTCATACATCGTATTAGCAGGCGAACGGACTGAACAATAGTACGACATGGCAAGCAACGAATAAACCATGTAGGGTGTTAGACGCCTTTCGGCTTCTTGGCAGCCCGGCCCGCGGGGGCGCGTTTTCCAGCGCTAGGTCCAGCCTCAGGTAAGCTTAACTAAGCCCCTCTCGGACGAGCGAGTAGTCGAGAGAGGGGCTTAAATGGGACTCGCGTTTCATGGCGGGAGAGCTCCAGAAATTAAGTACCTTTATGTACTTTTCTGGAGCTCTCCTCAAATACTCATTGTGGGATTTCTCAAGGTTCAGATATGTGTAGCTTCATGAGAAGCTACACAACCTCGTACCACTTTCAGCAAGATTTGTTGGAAGTAAGGGTATTCAAAACGGATTTCCAGTTTGTTGCAATGTGTAGCTGGCTATTTCAGACCAGGAGGCTGAAATGGCAGCTTCGTCGGAAACTACCAATTTCTTGACAAAACACCACAAGGGTTTCGTCTTCGTAAAAACAATAAAGGACCTCGCGCCACCGGGATAAGTGTCCCTCGATATCCAAGGGTTTTGATGAATATCTTAAGGGTTTTAGCTTTTATCCATTTCGGCGGCAGTTTTGGCGAAGGACCAAACATCCAAATCTCGGTGAAGGCCAGTACAGGCCTGTACTGGCATGCTTAGGCTGTTACAGGAGGACGTAAGAAACCATTTGCGCAACGTTTCCTGAAAGCGTCACAGCTCTCAGTTGTTGATGAAAGTGGTACGAGGTTGTGTAGCTCCTCATGAAGGAGAACATACCTGAACCTTGAGAAATCCTACGGTGAGGAATTGAGGAGAGCTCCAGAAAAGTACATAAAGGCACTTAATTTCTGGAGCTCTCCCGCTATGAAACGCGAGTCCGATATAAGCCCCTCTGCGAGGGCGCGGCGAACGCGCTAGAGGGGCTTAGTTAAGCTTAAGCCTCAGGCAGTTCAGGCGGTTCCATGACTACATTCCCCTCGTCATCAAAGTAGCCCTCTTCTTCGGGAGGAGGTGCGCGCTTCTTGCCCTTGCCTTTTGTTGTCGCAGTGTTGGCCAGTCCAGTCGACGTAGTGGGACTAGAAGTCGGAACGTGTCTGTAAACTTCGTCAGCTGAGCACATTCTAATTGAGCAGGATCAAATTCACTCACTTAGCAGGGCGCACTCTCCCGGTCGGCGTCACCTTAGTCCCACTGTTTATGCGTTTCTTTGTAGTGGGCGCGTGGCCGCTTGCCACATTTAAAGACGTCACCTGAATAGGAGAACAAATTAGCTCTTGAGTGACCCGACGATGCCCAAGCATTAACTTACTTCGACGATCCAACGGTTTACTTCGTTGTCCCAATCGACGATGAATCCATGTACTAATGTCTCTTTCCCGTCTTGAATCAGCACCTGGGAAGCTTTCATTTTGACTGTTGGCCGAATCCGGTACTCGACTTCAAACTCGATGTTCTCACGTAGCTATAGTCAGGTCGTCAGCTTGGAGCATTGACGTGAAAAATGAGTTATCAAGTTATAGGGCGACAATCGAAGGCTTACTTGGGGGTTATAGTCAACATGGCTCATGGTAAATGCTAGTGTAACATCGTCACTGTCTGCCTCTGGCAGTTCGCGTCGGGAGGAGACCGTTCCGAAGCCAGACGCTGAAGTGTTGTTGTGCAGCTCACCAGCGAATGTGTCAGAATTTCCTACCAAAATCTTATGATCCGCCTCGTAATACAACTTGTAATCAGCGGTTTCGGTACCCGGTATCATCTTTGCCTTAACCGCATAGCAATGATTTTCAAGTGGAACTTCCATCGAGCTGCAATATGCGATGAGGTCCCCATCATATTCTCGCTCATTATCGCCGTCCCAGCCGCTGCAAGTGATGGAAACGGTAGTACCCCGGTAGGTATAGTTGCGATTATCTGCGGGAGCGAGCTAGAATGGTAAAAGTTAGACACAAGAGAAAGGACATAAGTGAGTCAGTAATGACACACCGTTTCCGAGACCTCGAAGACACTCGAAACCATGAATTAATGGGACTTCTTGACTGGAGCATTAGACAGGTTCTTGGTCATACTCTTTGACATGATGACGTTGGCTTGTGTTGTGTTTTTTGCGAACGGTGTGGTTGTCGAGATAATTTAGGTTGTCAGAGGTGGCTCGACGTAAGGGAAGCGATAAGAGGCTAGTGCAATCAAAGTATCAAGCGGAGTAAATACGAATTCAAATTGAGTACCCTTCGTGGCTGTAGGGCCGAAGCAGATGAGTAGAAAAAGAGGCGGTGGATTAGTGTTTCTAATGAAGCAATGTGTGCGGTCAAATTGGGGCAAGTGATAAGAGGTCTGTCGAATGAAGATGAAGCGGGTTCAAGTAGGTTGAGAAGAGTGATAGGTGACGAACAAAAAATAATTGAAGAGCCGAGAGAGGCCGATTATAAAGGAGCAGTCGCAGTAGAATTGTGTTTGCCAGGTAGTTTCGGAATTCGAGTGTTGTAAGTGTCAGCCCAGTACGATAAGGCTGCGTGAAGAGGTTGAGACCAGGTGACCATAGAGAGGGTAGACCTATTACGTACTCTCGATGACGGGGTAGTGGAAGGCCAGAGTCGGTAGAGAAGTAGCCAGCTGTTGACGAGGCGATGGCGAGGAGGAGTAATTGTGGGCAAGCAAGGCGTGAAATGGATAGCGTTGTATTTGGTCAAAGCTGAGGGGGTCGTGTTGGAAGCTTAGCCATAGTTGGTTGGATGAAGCAGGGGAAGGCGAGTCAGTGGGCGTGGGTGAGTTGATGGCGATAATGATAGGAGTGGGGAGAGCGAGTGCATGGCCCATTTTGAAGACGGGCTGGAGCGTTGTTGTAATGGACTGGCCAGGACGCGTCTGGCCGCGAGTAAGCCGGTGGTACGGCATATGCAGGGAGTGCTTGGCACGCATAGGTTGTAAGGGAAGGCGGCGCAGCGCAAGAAACGAAGCAGTATTAAGTCTTGGGATTGGAAGCAGGAGACCGTTGTCTCTGTTCGGGATTTTATGTTATAGATTGTCCTTCTTACAGTCTAAGCGTCCACAAAATGTTGATTGAGAAGAAAACATTATTAATGCTCAAAAGTCCCAAGGAGTTTCCAATTTTCTTCAAATGTGAAGAAGTATCAAACAAAAAAGAAAAAGACTAGAAAAAGATGCAAGACTGCATTCTTTGATTATGTATAAAACAAATCTGATTTTCTATCTATACTATTGAAAACAGGTAAATTACAAAGTTAAAACCCCACATGTGCGGATGAATTTTTCATAAACTGACGAAACTATAACGTCTCAAAATCCAGCAAGCTTATCCACAAACTTTGATATATCTGGAACGGCAACCAATGATAAAAGTATGATACCATAAAGCACAAAACTGACTGTAGAGGTAGCAGCTGCTCGATGATAATTGTTACCAATCAATGCTGAGGTGCCAATAGCTGCTGCAATGACTCCTGTGGTCATTCCTATAGTGAAATAGTCATCTGATCCCACTTTAACCCGAACTCGAAGTAATCGGAAAGCTTGGTCCCGAATAATGACCGCCTAAAATATTATGGACAAAGGACGATCAGCTTAGATATCACAATATGAGAAAGAAAGGATTGAATCAAGCGATTTGAGTAAAAAAAGAATATGAAGACTTACAATGATCCCAGTAAAGCAAATCAAAACCACTACCAAACTTTGATCACCTCCTGTTGCTTTTATAAATTCGATTCCGAAAGGTGTAGACATAAACCGTCCAGCAAATGTAATAGAATGATCCCCATTCATTCCCATCTTATTTGCCAAAAATGGCCACAAAAATAATGAGATCACACAATTTGGTATGATTACAATAACGATTCGAACAAAATTGCAATAAAGATCTTGACGGTAACGGAAGAGTGGGAAAGCCAAGCAAATCTTGTAAGGGACAATCAAAGAAGAGACAAATCAGCTCTCTCTTACATACCAGTTTCTTAGGTGCGAAGATCTGTACTCACAATCCCGGCGTTAAGAATGCTACTCATCACATCACCGCATCCAGGTGGCTGACCAGTATAACCTTTGTCTTTTCTGAAGAGAACCAGATAAGTGCTTCCGGTGGAATAATGTCCCAAAACTGATGATGCCAAGAATGGACATCAGTTAACGGATGGAAGTACTTTTTGCCTCGGACTTCGATCAACCTTGGATTCGAATATGACATCACGTACCTTCTTGAATTTGCATACCCTTGATTGAACCAAAGATAAAGATCGCGAGTACAGAGATTGCACTGGTGACCAAGATTGGGTGAAGGATCATTTGCCAAGTTGTTGGAACGACTCTTCGGCTAAGAAGCCATGATAAGACGACTGTACTGAGAAACAAAGGTAGACTACGATTGGAACCTCCAGGCGAGAAAAAGACAGGGATTCCGATTATGAAAATGATCAAATAGACTATCGGATCAAAAAGAGATATCATCCAATTTACGAGTACGTCTTCTTTAGTCTCAGGCTTTGACGTTGCCACTCCTCGTGTGATTAAGATACCATCTTTCTGCTGTAATTCAAGCAACTGAACTTAGCATCTCAAAGTCATACAACAAATGAGGAGAGAAATCTTGTGAAATAAATTCCATCGAGAGACCTACATCATTGTTTTTATTGAGATCTCCATGCGATTCTTTCATTTGTGTATCAGTACTCATAGTATTATTTTGTCCTAATTCCAAATCTGATCCAGCTCTAGAAAGCGTCGGGAGTGGGTAACGAGTAGAATCAGAACGAGATAAGTTGGAGCGAGTTTCAGCCATGTTGGCAAATTGAATCTCATGTCTTGGGTCTACAGGAGAACCATCATCCTGTGAACTTGAACCTCTTCCTCCAAAACTCGACTTTTCTGACTGATTCCCAGTTGATGAATCCTCTTCACGGTGCGGATGAAAGATTTGAAGGAGTTTGCATATACCAACTGTACCAATCCAGGTGGCAAGGAACGAGGGAAGAAAGAGAGCACAGATTAAACCAATTTCTGATGCAGACATACTGTCTCGTTTGGGTATCCTGCAGTCGATAATGAAAAATCAAAAGTTTGTTGCTTCTGGGATCATCTAAGCAAGCGGGAATATACTAACAAGATGAATGAAGAAGTAAAAAAAAGACCCATGTTACTCAATACCCAATCTGCACTTGGTTTGAAGAGCCAGTGAAAGCCTTTTGATAGTCGCTGAGGAGAAAATTGATGAAGTATCACCATAGCTAGGAATGTAATAAACATCATGACCACCTTTGATAGTTTTGATTTGAGAACACAACACGTTTTAAAACGGATAGAGAGGGTCAATATGGATCTTTTGAACAAGAAGCTGATGAGGCCCCTTCCAGACTCTTTTTGAACCTCATATGTTTTATAGATCGAAAAACACTTACGGAAGCTGGAAAGGTGAAGGGGAGTTTTGAGACACCCAAATCGATAAAATAAGAAAAAAACAGAATAATGATAATTCCAAGCGGGACTTGAATGTACGTCTTGAGGATCTGTCTGCCATTTTGTTTGATGAGCTTACAATTGAGATTAAAAGCAATTTCGTCAATACCTGACTTGGTCAAGATGCATTCACCATATAAAGAGATCAATTTACTTTTGACAAAGCGCCTCGTAGAATTTCGTTAGAGATCATGATTTATTTCGTTTTATTGTTCTTGAATGACAGAAATGACTTCATTCAACTATCTTCTTCAAACGAGAATTTTGGTTCATCAGCTTACTGAGCTTGAAGAAGAGTGATGAGTTATGCGCGAATTATTATTTATCGAGCGTCCTGACTTCTACCCAAGCACTCTGCTTTTAAACGGTGGGCACCAGTCGAAGAACACAACGGAGCCCAAAACAACCTCTGATTAGTTGGAGCAAGACTCGATGGGCACGATAACAATAACAACCCATCCATTGGTGTCGATGATACTTGGCATACTTGTTACTGACGTCACTTCACGACTGGAGGATGGGAACGCGGGTTGATTTGATCACATAAATATTTATCTTATCCGGTGGACTCGCTACTACTTTGTAATATGAAGTTTTATTGCATTTCTGTAGCACCATAAGCGCCCCCTACCCAGAAACCGCATTTGCAAACCTCAGCTTTAGTTATCAACAATGATCAAACGTGGTGTTCAGCATAGCAAACTGCCCATGTGCCAATAGCTAAAAAGGGGGTTCGACACTACATATCTTAGTCAAACCTTAAAGTTACCGACAGCTCGGAGTCTACCAGATACCTTGTAACTCCAGTCCAAGACTCAAAGAATCCCCTTGTTCTCTCCCAAAAAAGGGAACTTGTTCAACGCGAATGAAACCTTTTGGTTTAAATGATCTCAATGGTCTATACTTCTAACTGCCTTCAATGTGGAGGCCACATATCCTGGATCGGTCGAGGTCAAAGATCCCTAAGCAAAAACGTATAAGAACAATTTAGCGTGAGGTCCTTTCGATTTTCTCCCTCTTGGCGCGCCTGCATACTGCTTGGCAAACGCAGGGCTTTCCGTTATTGCAGAAGTTGTCCGATGGGGTTGAAGGTCAAAAGTATGATCCCCTTCCGGTCCTGTCCTGAATCTTGATTTCATCAGATGTCATGAAACTTGACATCAACGATTAACCCAATTCTGCATCAAAGTTGTCTGCTACTGATAAAATGAAGTTGCCATATTTCGGATATAGTTTCCTTGAGCAGATGAGTGGGGAATTCTTGCATATGGATGAGAGGTCAATCTTGAATGAGTTCTGCTCACCATGTCTGCAGAGAGGATAAAGGACCGTAGTTTCAAATTTTGTGTGCTGAAGTGCTGAGCTTCACGTGACGTGGCCGCGCAGAGAGGGCTTGTGTTAAGCTAAGCTTCACGTGGTGGGCGGAGCGCAAAAGGCCTGCCCTGGGGCAGGCCTTTTAGGCTTGATTTTGGGGTTGGCATGCCCACATTAGGTTTAGGTCTATGCCACCCAGTTGCTGTGTGATTATGGGTGAAAAATCTCATTGACATCAATAAATTTTTCCAAATCACATCTCAAAGTGCTCAACTTACAACAAATCTCCTATCCCCAAGCCACTGTCAGCCATAGGCTGCTTTCACATGATACCAAAATTCAAATCATCCTTGTCAAAGTCAGCCTCAGACAAAAGCAATGGACAGGATTCTTGATGTCTGCTGAAGTGAATGCATCAACAAACTGCCACCAAGCTCAATGTCAGCATAATTTAATAATTGTTGATGGAATGTACAGCAGTCTACAGCAGTATCATGCAATACAAAAGATGCTGTTTTTGGTGTTGTTGAGCGGGTTTTTTACCTCCTGTTTTGCATTTTTGAGGGATTTTAAGAGCTCAGAGGCACACCTCATCTCCCCCACTATAGGTGTGCCTTTGAAAAGCTCAAAATCTGTGCCTGGGCCTGCCCCCAATTCAAAACCCATGCCCACCATGTGAGCTGAGCTACTCAAACTGCATATCAGATTTTGTGACTTCTTTATGATCAATGTGTTGATCATGAGTTTGATGTTTTGTTAGAAGATATGCCTTGTAGTCATCCAATCTTGCCCTGGGTTTCTTTTCTACCTATGTGGTTGTCTTGATGTTTTCTAGATGATGTGATGCTATTAATTTCATCATAAATGAGAAGAAGTTTGGAGCTGAAGGTGGACTTATCAAGTACAAAGCCACACAGTGTAAAAACTCAAGTGTCATGCCAATGTGCCCACACAAAAGACATCTTGTAGAGAGTGTATCTGAGATTCATATAAGCTTAAGAACCATGTGCAGACAGTCCCTTCTCGAGTTACTCAGGCAGCAAGACTGTTAGGCATAGAAAGTCTGGATTCCTTTCCTGAGACTAAAGTGGTGCTTGCAGAAGTCATATTCAAAAGAGAAGAGATAGTTAAGCTTAAATTGAAGTGCAGAGTGACAAGAGTAATATGAACTGAAGAAATTTGGACAAGGAGGTTGTGTCATGATAATTTATGATAATCTGCATCAACTGGTTTATGCAGTAAACTATGCCATCTTTGATCCTTTGTTGCCTTTTTGATTTGGTAATCAATTGGGTTGTCTAACACATTCATTCGTTTACAAGACATGGAGATTCATTTGTACTTTGTCTGTTTTCTGATATGAGTCAACTCATGATCCACACTTCAAGCAATTTGGCTGCTTCATTTTGCTGTAATCCTGATACCTCAATATCAACCCACCTTTCTGAGTCTAACAAAGAAACTGAATTAAAAAAATCATTTCTTTCCCAAACCTCTCCATGTGCGCACATTGATGTGCCATAGTAAAATGGACACTCTGCCAGATTGTGTGCTCAAGGGTTTTCTCAAAGACCAGAAGATTTTGGTGACACCTTTGCACCCACTGGTTGTCTGCTCTCTTTGCAAACATTGATGTATGTTGGTGACACCAATGATCTTGACATAAATTTCATGGACATCAGACTTGCATTTCCCAATGGTATTCCAAAAGAAACCATTCACCTTTGTATTTCAAAAGGCTCAATCATTCCTGAAACTACTGGAAAATGTGTACCATGTCTCAATAAATCTATGTATGGTTTAAAGAAGTCACTGCATTGTTTGCAGGATGTTTAAGAAGCTTCCCTTGTCAGCATTCATCTCAAACAAATGCCTTTGAATCCCTGTGTGTTTGTCTCCACTGATCCAAAATGGAAGTGCTATGTATACCTACATGTTGATGACATGTCAATCTCAAATAAGAATGTCAGTTGCTTCAAAAGTCTCATCACCAAATACTTCAACAGGGAAAATCTAGGTGAAGCCACATTCATTCTTGGCATGAAAGCCACAAGGGACCAAAAATCTTGAACCATAGTGTTGTCTAAACCGCAATACATTGGCAACTTACTCAAGATATGGACACACCTGTTGGAAGTGCCATGATTGAAAACACTCATCTCATTACTTGTACTGATAAAGGTTTCAAGGGATTTATTGCTTCTGGAGAGTACTGCCAACATGTGGTCAGTCAATTGATATATCTTTGTGTGTGCCACTAGTCCTGAGTTGGATTTTGTTGTCTCACAAGTTTCTCAACATTTCAACAAGCAAGATATGTTTCATCATTGGCAATAGGAAGCTTTCAAAAGGTTGATGGTACCAGTACTGTTGGTTTCCACAATACAGTGCAATTATTGGGGCATTGGTAACAGGAGAAACTTGACCTATTTCCTCCTGAAATGTGCAGGAGAATGTTGCAGGGAAAACATTCTCTCCACAGGAAAATTTTTCTTTCCTTGCACACGTCAACTCACACCATCCTCCAATGTATCCCATACCAGTATTGAGAAATCTCATCTGACCAGAAACACACTCTTAAATAAAGCTCTTGAGCTTAGATCACTTTTTCAAACCAGCCCACCACCCTTGATAAACAAGAATTAACTACAGATACAGATGTTCCACATTGAGGCAAGAATGTGACTATGAGGTAAGATAATGGCAACTTGAGTAGGTGTTTTTTAGTGATTAAGTCAGTAGTTGTTTTTTAAGTGAGTGAGTTGCCTAGCTCACCATTCAGCGCTCACACATATACTGAAACCAGTGGTCCTGCCTCCCTTGGCTCCCCATTTGGGCAGAGGGACCCCCCAAGAAATCTAGAGTTTTCAATTCAAAATCCTCTAGGTTTGCATAGCACAAACCTGTTACAAGCAGATTACTATGTACCACATTGTTATCACTTTGTTACAATTGAGTAATTGAAAAACAAAAAGAACATAATAAAACTGTTCAACCCAAGAGATATAGTTGAGTAAAGAGTGGAAGGGTTTTATGTTACTGACAAGGAGCTCGATTAGGTGGTGGTAGTTGAGGTGTACAAACCTACAGTGACTCAGATTTTGTGGGTTGTCCTTTCACAAGGTGATAAACAACCGGAATTATTTCACAAGTAGGTTTGGTTTGTGTTAAATGGAGGTCAAAGAAGCAAGAAGGTGTAGCGGGATCTTCTACCAAAGCAGATTATTGTGCAAGGTAAAAGGTGCCCAATGTTCAAGATGGCTAAATAAATTTATGAGAGACATCAACATGGTCTTGACAAAGGTGCCTTTGTTATTAGCTGAGAATCAGGGTACAATTGGTTTGTCTAAGAATGCTCAATTTCAAAACAAGACAAGACATTTTGATGTCAAGTATCATTGGATTTGCGAGCATGTAGAAATAGAAGAGTTTTCTGTTAAATACATTGCCACTGCAGATATGTTGACTAAACCCTTAACACCATAAAAGCACAAGGCTCATTTAGGGGATACAAAGTAGAATGATTCTACTTTGTATCCCCTATTTGCAAAAGGATAAATCTGATAAGTTTAGAGAACCAGGGAGGTAATTGAAGTATGACATATTGAGATTCTTTTGGTTATCTAATCTCATATTTGATACTTTGCTTATTCATTCTAATCTTACATCATGATGTAATATTTATAAACAACAACACCCTTCAACAACAGTCACCACAGATTCACCAATGTACAGAGCATCAAGACTGAGGATGCATGACAAAGGAAAGATGGCTCAATGGTAAGAAATGGGGTTGTTGTGGTTGTTGTACACCACAAGGACACGCCGATGTCCTAGGGACGACCGGTTTTTCTTGCAGGGGGACGGTGTAGTATTTAAAGCTCAACAAGAGCTTTACAACACCTAAGAAGGGATAATCTACTACGTGTAATATAGTAGAAGTTGCCTAAAGACTGCCTTCTTCAAAGAAACCAGCACAAGGGCACTTGCTGACCACTTTGTGATAACAGAGAAAAGGATAAAAGGCACCAGAGAAATAAAGCAATACTGTTGTTAAGTATTATTCCCAGATTTTAAGCGCAAAAAAGTCACACACTATGTTTATTACTAGCAATACTGTTGTAAGTATTATTCCCAATTAGACTTGTAGTCTTTAACACACGTAAATAAATTTCTCCTTGCTTTTGAAGGGGCGGATTTAAGTGATCTTAGTACAAATATAGTAAATAAATGATGATTTATAACACTACAACAAAGGTATAAGATGCAGAAAAGGGCGCTACAATCCCAAAATCATCAAGGAGTACTTATATCCACATGTAACAATCTTTACAACAGTCAACAGCCTCAAAAACCAATCAAATCCGCCTAAATAACCCTAAAAACCATGTAATGACGCAATGTAATGATCTTGTTACTAATGTATGATGTAATTTTCACAGCCAAAAGTGATCAATGACGCAATGATGTAATGTACAGCACTTCTTAAGATGAATACAGGTGATTTTTTCCTTGTAAACTAGCTGAAACCCAATTTTTGAGATTATGAATTTTTTCAGATGTGCTCCAATTTTTGATTACTAAAGTGCATCTTGTAGCCCACGTGTTACTGATCATTTCTGACACCTATAAGACCTACTTCTGATGAGTGATGAGTAAGATATTGAGTTGTGAAGTTAAGGTTTTTGGTGTTACATGTGTCTTGTGACTGTAAATTCGAGATTCACACCAATTTCTTATTTCCCTTATAACTTTTTACATACACCTCCGTTACTAATGATTCAAAGGTTGTACATTATGTAGTCCACTCTTCTGCGTTGAATGAGCCATCTACCAACTTATTCTGACGTCATTTGACATATGTAATTAGCTGAAAACCTTCATTTTCGACGATTTTCACCTATTTTCTTCACTTTTCACAGCTGCTACTCCCTTTTCCTTGCTCATGTAATATGGCATCATCTTCTATAACCTTAAGAATCCCGGAAAATCCTCTTGGCAACCTTAAATTCCATCACTACCACCATTACATATGTAAACTACACGCCTAACCCTTGTTTACCAACTTCGAAAAAGTACCTTTCTGCTAATAACCTCTGTTTCCCCTTATCAACCTTGAATATTAAAATTGTTCCTGTATAATAAACTGTTGTTCTTTCATATTCTAACCTTATAAAACCCATAACTTAATTATAAATAAGCTAAAAACCATTTTCCAACTTTTACACCTATATTTTCGAATTTTTCTTATCTTTTCTTTTTCTGTCTTTTTGTAATAACTTTGTAAGTAAACTATGTTGATCTTAATAATAATTTTGAAATAATATGACATAATAATGAGCTAATAAGTATACATAAGCCTCTAAGAGCTTCAATTGATCTGAAAACCTGAATCTCGAATTCTCTGCTGTATTGAAGTTTGCTAATAAACTGGTAAAGTAAAGATGATTAATTTTTTTGCTTAATATCATAAATGGATCACCACAACGGACATCATGACAAAACTGATCCAAGGAGCCCGGACCCAAACAGTATTTCGTGACGCCCCACGGTCTTCCAAAAGGGATCCTTTTACGCTACATAGGGGGTCCTCAAGGCGCCTGTACGGGCTCTTCTGAGAGCATCGCTTCCAACTGAACTGTTGGGGGATTTGTAGTTGTCAAGAGGATGTCCTACTCAATGACCACCTGATGTTGTTGGATTCAATTGTTGATGTCCCAAAACCCTTCTGACACTCAGAAGATGTTTCTCAAAGTGTTGACTTGACAAGATTGATGCATTTCAATAAAGTTGAGTGATACAAAGATACAAGACTCGATCCAATTGGATTCATCTATAAAGAAATGACAAGAAAGGAAACTACAAAACAACCTATGTCCGAGAACTTGTTGAAATGTGCGGAACTTTTGGTTTAATCAGCAACTGAGGAAGACCGCTATCAAAGGCCACTATACCTACCCAATTTTGAAGTAAAAACATCTACCCAGTCAATTTGATTGTAGGATGAAGAGAACAGTATGATCTTTCTAAATATACATGCTCAACTGTATTTGAAACTTGTTTACCTTTTGCCATCCACCCAATCTCATCCGCTCACAAACAATAAATAACCATCAGAATCGATCAATTAGCTTGACTGAGTGAGTAAACTTATCAAGCTTGATAAAGGAAACGATCAAACCAACTTCAGATAACTTCAAATTGAGATAACTAATTCTTGATTGTCAAAACCGATACATATTTTCCAGCCAAACCTGAATTCAAATCGTTCGAACCATCAAAGACATACACTTGAACAAGACTTGACGGCAATATACGTACTCTTCAGGTCAGCTCAGCAAATGAGCAAGGTTCTTGCTCAGTGATGATCGGACTAAAACTGTGGTGGAATATTGGGTTCATCAGTCTTTGCTCCATGACCTGTGCCATTAAAATCAAGCGTAACAGTCTGTTTCACCGCTTGATCTTCTTTACTAGATTTGATGTGATCTAGCACCAAGTTCAAGCGTTTTCGAAATTGATGAGTTTACGACTATCACCTCTTAATGAATTCTGATTGGTTTTATCTACCATGTATATGACCTGAGAAAAGAAAGGACATATCGGATCAAGATCGAGATAAAGATGAAAATCGTGCTCGCAATTGACATGACTCACATCAAAGTAGTCAAAGTCACCACTATGTACCATTGACACCATCGAGACAAAGACAATCGATACGGAAAGTGAGTTGTTGAGCTGTGACAACAAGTCAGTCTAGTTTGTGGAGTCCAGATTTCCTACAAGTGGCAAGATTATTATGCTTGGACTCATCTTACAGGAAGAGGGGAACTTGAAGGGACCACTGTGCATTGAGGATTGAAGACAAAGCCCCTTGCAAGCTTTAAATCCAAACAACGAGTCTAATGGTGGTCTGCTCTGAGGAAGGGATCAATTCAAGAAGATTGATGAGATTGGGGAGTTGAGAATGACAGTGTGGGGAAGGGGTGTTAGTGTTGAAACAAGGAGGGTGGAAAGTTGTGTTTGATTCAAAAGTAGCGATGATGAGAAAAATAGAAAGGTCAGTCTGAACCGGGTGTGATGGAGATTGAAAGTGGATTTGTTTTTTGAAGTTGCTTCCCGTTCCCCCCGTTTTCTCCCTTTCTTTTGACTTTCCCTTTTTTTCCAGAAGTTTCCTTTCATGAGTGGTCAGTGCACGGATGGACAACCTAGCCAAGTTGAAGGTCGCAGACAACCTGACGCACACCTGAAGGAATCTACCAGATGTCATGATCTCAGGTTCTGTGAGGTCATCCAGGCTTCACTCCGCAGACAGCCTCAATAGGGGAGTCCAGGTCAGGCCGAGAGCTAAGGAAATCTCAAGTGTCCAAGATCTGAAAGCCATCTTGACATCCTGGGAGTGTGCTGAAGACGTCGACGCTCAAGGACGCCCAAAAGATACCCCAGTTGGGGACCCGGAGTTGAGCATCGGATCTCGGACGGCTTGGACGTCCTTCTGCGCAGAAGTGTCTTTGTGGTGTACATACATACGCGGGGCCAACAGAGTACCGCTCGAGGGCAACTGGCAAACCTATTGCAAACGAGTTGTGAACGAAATTCACGATTTGAGGAAATTTCAAACCCGGACACCGAAATTCGGTTCAATTGGGTTTTGAACTAATTAATTCCCGCGGTGTTAGATCATCTTCTGTGATCGTGTTGAAGCAATTTCTCTGGTATATAAGATAAAGGCTCTTAACCAGTTTGTAACCTTTCTCTTTTTCTTTACCAATTTCTATTCATCACTTAGAGCAGGTTTGCTTACTCGTTATTGGTCATTGGGAGTATCATCTCCCCTAGTTACTAACTAGTTCATTCCCTTACACTCATAGAAATTTTGCAATTTAGACATAATATGAATCAAGCTCAGAATCTAATAGAAAAACCGTCAACCTGCGTTGTGCCACTATCACGGGGTTTTACCGCGACAATGGGTTGTCGGAAGAAGCAAAAGCAAGAGCGAAGCCACGTTGCAGAAAAACCTATGCCAGCATTATAACAGAAGCGCATACCCACCGGAGTCGCTCAGAGTCATACCTTCGATACTTTCCTGATTGGCAACCGAGCTTATCTTACATTGAAAGATTATGTGAGGTTGACGGATTAGAGCTTCGCAAGGAGCCAGGTGTACTTCCACACATCCATATACAAGCCCATCCCTGTCCACATCTCTGGGACTTATATCACAAAAACCGAACCTTTTTAGTCTTTCAATAATATCATCATCATTTCAATCTGCTGTAGCCTGATTGCTGGCCTCTCTGGTTTGCTTAAGAACATCAAAATGTTAAATTTCTGCCTTGGCCTTCTATTTCTTGTCCTCGGTGTTCTCAATTTGCAAGTATTTTCTTTGCCTGAACCCAAGGCGTTTGTGAAAGATGTCTTCAAGATCCATACCTTGGTCCATAGTCGTCTCGCTAGGAGGAATCTTAATGCTACCTCATATGAGGCCTACCAGGTGAGCTCAAGACACCTATGACGGTCCAGGACTGGCCGCCACGGATGAGGATCCAGAATCTGATACGTTTGTAAAATTAGATCTCGGACGGGACCGCGGGGACTGCAAAAGAAGCTGCCGGCAAATTGTTGTTGGAGCCTTACAACTTGACCTTGTCATCTGATCTGGAAGTTTTACCGCTAGAAGCATTGAAAGGCATCAGCAAGGATGACATTAAAGCAATGTTCAAAATAGGACATGATGGAAATATCCAGGAGGTGGAGGGATTCCTTCCAGCAATCAGGGTGTGTGACAACCCGATCCTGCTTAGGACAACATAATTTAAGAGTTTGTGTCTGATTGTGGGATCGGTATCTCCTGCTCTCTGACGCGAAAAGGCTGCCAAAAAGAAGAAAGACTTGTTTAACAAGCTTAACAGGGGGATGGTGAGTAACATATTGTGTTTTTGAATTTCGCGAAATGTGGATATTTTTTAAACAAGCGATATCTGTGGTTGAAGGCTTGGTTCTTGACTGGCAGAATAGCTGACTTTTGTCTTTATGTCTTATTGATAGATTGCCAACAAGGTCCTAAAGCTGTTGGGTACGTCAGAACAATGTTCCCAAACAACTCTCAAACACACTAGCTGATTTTTGTGTTTCTTTTTCTGAAGCTCAAGTCGTGGGTTGTGCTGTAAGTTTCCATGTTATTCGTCCCTGACAAATATGTAGATTGCAATTCTTTCTATAAAGATGAACTAACAATTGACTTGCCATGCAACCCGCTGTCTCGGACCTAGGCTCAAATCGCCCAAGGCGATGAAACGATAAAACTTAAAGAACACCTTAAAACAGAGCAAAAGAAGTAAGCAACCACCATTCCTGCAACGAGTCTTGTGTTATCGCTATCGCAAAATTGCCTATGATGTAACGTGCTACTTTGTAGCACATCTGCTCGTGTAGATCTCCAGGTTGAAGCATTGCTGATCTGGGTTCTCATCTCTGGATTTGGGATAATTAGGTTGGCCCACAATCTCAAGACAGATGAAGAAAACAAAGGGAAACCGATGTCTTCATTTCTCTCTGTTACATCTGACTCAAAGAAAAAGAAGAAGCCAAAGGAATGAGAAAACAAGATATTGACTCTAAATGCTAGAATTTGACAGCTTCTTTGTATCCTTTATCCCATGACTTTGAGACTCGTTGATCTTTTGGGCCAGAAGGGAGTGGGCACATGGTGCAAGATTCAAAAATTTCCTTAATTTGATAGCTCAACTCGTGTAATTCCTTTCACAATATCAATTGCAATAAAAGTCCTTCCGTCCCTAAAATGAGTCCAGTTCTAACTTTCACCACTCAATGCATATAGTATCATTCTGAAAAGATGACACGCATATTATCTTTCATAAGTGGAGTAGAGGCAGAACAGCTAGCTCTATTGAATACCTTGGCTGAATTAGCCTACCATATCTGTCCTGCTTTTATTCAATCGATTAGGGCAGTTCAAGTTTGAAAAAGCACTAAAACAGAACTGTGCCTACAGCAAAATGCTGCTTATAATTGTTGAAAGTTTGAAAAACTCTGAGAAAGCCCTACCTGAATAGTGCATGTATGTGCAAACTAAAGTTGGAGTTATAAAATTTTACAGCACATGGAGGCCAAAAGACTTATAATTTTACAACATTTTTGTTTAACTTGAACTGCCCTATTATTGACAGTGAAGCTCTAGAGGTTTTACAAAGCCAACTAAAGCCAAATTAAGACACTTCACAAATCCTCCTGTAGAGAGGAAAAATCAATGATCTGAGGGTGTGACAGTACCTCAATAATCTGCAAAGCTAAATGCATAAATTGAGGTCATAAGCTTCCACACAAAGTTCCAAGAGGGTAAATGCTAGAATTTGACAGCTTTTTTGTATCCTTTACCCCATGACCTTGAGACTTGTTGATCTTTTGGGCCAGAAGGGAATACTATAGGCACATGGTCAAACCAGTTCCTCACAAAAGGTGTCAAAGAAATGTGTAAGTACTTTACCCCAAAGTTCAATAAATTTGGTCCACTCTAGATCCAACACTTACCTCATTGATGTGTAAAAGACAATCTCACCTACACACTACTCCTGCACGGCCTCACAACTACATCACATCAGTGATAGAGAGCCTGATCCAAAGAGGAGTGTAAGTTTTTGATGAGCTGCAGGGAGGCAAGAATGGAAAGGAGCTGGGACAAGTTATAGAATAAGATTTGCTTTTCCTACACAGCTTCTGAAAATCACAATGAAAGTTGTTTGAAGTGCTGCTGATGTCTGGATTGGTTTCAAATCTATCAAGAGTCAATACAGGGGCACAATTCTGGCACTGGATCTGGCTGACAAGGATGTCTTGTAGTATCTACTACAATATGTAGTAGGATTATGATGTAGTAGGATTTTCTGTGATCTGACAATCAACAAAGAATTCATTGATAATGATGAACAAATTTGTGCAATGACATACATAGTGGGAAATATAAATATGGCCAAACTAATCTCTCTGATGGCATCACTTTCTTTAAAGGCCTGGTTGGCTTGGCAGGATTTTGGTCTTTCTGCATAAGATTTGACCAGTAGGAGTAGCACTACAACAAAATCAAAAACTCAATTGTTGGGATGAATGATTCAGAAAATATGCCAAAAAGAATTTCAAGAAATCACACACAGTTCTTGGATGGGCTTGGCAGAAATGGTGAATATTCAAAACATGAATGAGAGATCAACTTAAAGATAAATTATAAACAAAAGTTAAAAAGGTAAACAGTTTACCTACCAGGAATTCAATAGCAACAAGAAAAATCGCCTTGAAAAGATTGATGGTGATTTTTTTATGAAACGGGATTGATGTGGGTGTTGTTGATGCAAGTGAAGTCTTGAAATCTTTGATTATGTTCCCATATACTCAGATTGTCTCCTCAATGGGTTGAATAACTGATAACAGTGCCACTGATGCAATCTTAGAAAGACAAGCTGCAGTGATGAAGGTATTTGAAAAGAGATTGTAAGTTCAGGCTGGGATGGGTGAGAAGATTGATAAAGGCCCATCTTTGATTACCCTCTCTTTTCAAATATTTTGAACACTGTAACTTGTCATTCTAGGACTCCATCAGTGGCATTGTGATCACTTCAACCCATCTGGGAGACAGTTTGAGTAAGTAGAAGCATAGTTAAAGGTGTCAAGACTTCACTCAGATCAACTCCTACATCATGTTCCTGAGTTAGTATGAAGGAAGAAGTGAAATATATCAATGCGCATTTTAAGAAAAGTAATTTTAAGAAAAGCATCTGTTTTACGAGAAAATTGAATTCTTAAGATTTGAATTTGAAGACTTTATTTTTGTGAAATGAGTTTCAAGATGGGTGATGAGGACTCTGAGGGCAAAGAAGAAATCGACTGGGGTTCTTATAGATTTTTTGACTCGAGCGGAACCTACAGCTCAACGTAAGTGCCGGCCATGGTTCAGACCATCAACATCGTCTGAGAAGAAATTTATGTATGTAATTCGGACGGCAAGAGTCTCTACAAAGTACAGCTTGGAACTCTGTCGAGTTTATTGCTGGAGGCATCCTTGATTGCAAAATGAGGAGACAATGGAAAAGTCAAACGGCGCAAGTTATGGTCGCATAATTAGCTCATACATCAATACCACCTTTTTGAACATTTGGATCCATCCGATAAGATTTGAAATTCCCTCAGTTCTGAGATCATTTAAACTTACGTTCCGGACACCTAAATCATAAAATCCCTCAAACATTTGGCCGTCTTTCTCCATCCATCGTGCATTGACTCTCCCAATGGATGCTTAGCGAGGCAGAAGCATAAGTCTTAATTGAGCTCTTTGGGGTGATCAATCGTAACCAAAACAGTTCATAAGAGGTGTAAATGAGATAAATTGTACTAACCTGAAGTTGAAATTTTTTGGTCTATGTACATACTGATCAATTTCATCTTTGCCTAGATACTTCATTACCTTCGTAATTCCTAAAATACATTCTCACCTACGCATCAGTCCTACAGGCTCTTCACGGCCACGCTACAGCAGCCATAGAGAGCCTGAACCACCGAGGGGCGTGAGTTTCTGGTGGGCTAGGGGAGGTAAGAATCAGGAGGGGCTATGATGAAAAAGGCTGCAGAACCAGATCTGATTTCCCTACATAGCTTCAGGGAATGACGATGAAAATTGTTTGAAGTGCTGCTGATGTGAACAGTCACTACTCGCAGCAATGGACAGATTTTGTGACGATGCTGATTCAAGTTTGTGTAAAAGGTTTCAAATGAAAATTGAACTCGAGCTAAATTTTTATAGTAAAATCTGAGTGTAAAGGTCCAATTAGGGTTAATTTAAGGTTTAAAGACCGATTTGAACCGAATTTGAACATCGACTTTGAGTTTTCAATTTACGAACCAATCCAAACCAATTCATCCATCCCCATCATCACTATCGAAAAAAATCAACAAATCAACATAAACTCATATCATATCATTCCAGGGGTACTCGTTATCAGATACCCCTACCTATCCACATCTTCAAGATGTCTCAAATTTATCAAAAACCTCAATCTAAACCGGCCTCAGAGTACAATGCTATAGAGACGACTCACAAATCAAGTCCTAGTTTCGATGCTGAAGCTGATGCTGCTCGGGTTCTTCAAGATACAAAAGCTTTCGTTAAAGACCGAGATACCTTAGTATCAGTTATCAATCAATCCGACAATCTTCTTTCTCGTCTTCGTGAATTCGGTCAAGATCATTGGATGTTAGCTTACCCAAATGACTCAGTCAAATCGAACATTTCACAAACCGGACTTTCTAACATCGGTCCACACTTACGTCGAATCGCTTCAGAGTTTGATGGGAATGGTAATGTCACTAGGCCATCTTGTCACCCACGTTCGGCTACCACTATCGAGTCTGTTCACGATGTTCAACCTTCAGGAGTCCTTAACATCCTCGCTGTGGATCATCCTAGCTTACCTGGACGTCGAACTTCTGGCGCTATCAAAGATATTGAATCGTCTTTACTCATGCGTCAATCTTTGGCTTCAATGTTATGTTCTCGCTTGGAATCAGTTCAGTCTCATCTTGGTGACCTTCGTACTCGTGTCATGGATCAAAACTCTAGAATCCTGGTGACCGGTGATTTAAATGCTGGAAAATCTACTTTTGTGAATGCTCTTTTGGGAAGAGAAGTAGCTCCTACCGATCAACAACCATGTACTGAGGTGATGTGCGAGATTTTGGACATGTCACATAATAGTTCCAAGGAAGAGATTCATGCGATACCACATGGTATGACTTACAATATGGAGGACACTTCAACCTATGATATTTTTGAAATTGAACGCTTGTCCGAATTAGTCTCTCAAGCTAATGACGAGGATGAAGATGAGCAATCGAGTCCATACCAATTACTCAAAGTATGTTCACTTCGTCACTACTCATCTTACCCAAACATGTCTTCATCTTATTAAACCTTTGTCTGTCTTCTCTACAGGTTTATATTGCCCCTCAAACCGCGATTCAAAAGCAATCTGAAGATTCTCCCCGCACGGATGCCATCTCCTTACTTCGTAATGGAAATATTTCAGTCTCCTTCATTGATTCACCTGGTCTCAATCGTGATACACTTTCAACTATGGAATTATTCTCAAAACAATCTACAATTGATGTGGTAGTCTTTGTAGTAAGTGCTGAGAACCAATTCACACTCTCAGCCCAAGAATTTTTATGGGCTGCAAGTCAAGAGAAAGCCTATGTGTTCGTAGTCGTCAATAAATGGGGTGGTATTAAAGATAAAGTTAAAGCTGAAAGAAGGATTCGAGAACAATTGAGAAAACTTAGTCCAGGGACTTGGGAAGAAAGAACTGAATTAGTTCATTTTGTTGATTCTCAAGATGCTATTATCTCAACTCAAGTTGGATCTAATGCACCTTTTGATCCTTTTGATCATTTACAACGTTCTCTTTCTTCTTTTGTCTTCTTACGTCGATCGATTTCTAAATTACAGCCAGCTCAAACTTACACTCGTCATCTACTTCAAGACCTTTCAGTCATCTCTCAAATCAATGTTGAAGCAGCTCAAAAGCTCTATGAAGAAGGTAACAACCGTCTCAGGAGTGCTTTACCGCGTTACGAGCAGTTATTAGCCACTTCGAGTGTTTTAGAAGATAGTGTTTGTAAGATTGAAGAAGACACCGTCATCAGCGTTCATCGCTCTGGCAAACAAATCCTTACCTCGGCTATTCAACAAATCAAGCTGGGTGAACTTCCGATTTTCCCAGAAACGCTCGGCTTACCTAAGCCTTACTTTCCAGTTTACGATGGTCTATTGACGATCTTTCAGTATGCGGAAGATGTTCGAAAGGCTTTCTTAGCTGCATTAGAGGATAGTGTCATGGTTGCAGAGGACGTAGCTCGAGGCTGTACTGCCAAGGCTGTGGAGACCATCAGACATGATCCGGCAACCACCGATATCTTGAGCCAAGATGACACCAAAGTTCGCACCTTCAACCCCAAGGCAATGTTCTCCCGCAGACGTCGATTTGGTCTCTCGAGATCTGCTGCATCAAACGGCGACAACGCTGAGGCTCGTCAACTACAAGAATTTGCAGCTGCTACCAAGTCCTTGGGTGTTGCTGGCTTTGGTGATTTGATTGATTTCGATAGATTGAATTGGTTTGGTGGTCGTACAGAAGATTTATCAAAAGTAGAAGAAGAGAGTGCTTTGACTCATGGATCATGGATCGGTAGTGTCGGTCTTGGAACTCTCACACTCTTTGGAACTGGTGTGACAGGCGGTAGAGCATTTGTAGAAACTATGGTGAAAGTTTCTGAGATCCTTGGTAGTAAAGGTGCACGTAAATGGACTGGTGCTGCAATTGGTATCATGAGTGAGTTTTATTCATTTTCTATCTCCTTTTGGTCTTTCAAAGTTTACTCACTTCTTTTTCGTACCTGAATTATTCACCGGTAGCCGTTGCATTTGGAGTATACCTTATTGCTGACATCCCACGTGCAATCCCTCACAACATTGGACGTAAACTTGAACGAGAATTAAATGAATTAGTTTCCTCATGTCCAGATGCACCCACAAGTTGGGTCGAAAGTGAAGTAGAAAGACTTACGAAAGAAACACGAAAAGTGGTCAGATTGGCAGGATGGGATTTAAGACAAAGGTTTAGAAGTGCATTAGAAGAAGCTGGAGTGGAAACTGATGGAGCTAAAGCTGAAGTTCAAAAAGCTATTGAAGCATTGGCTTGGCTTGAAGGATTTGGTGAAGAAGTGGGAAGTTTAAGAAGTTTGGTGGATGGTGATGATGCGGTTAAATTGGCTGAATGGAAACGTTGAAAAGTTAAAAAAAATGTGCGCTTTTTTTCCCAACAAAGCTTTTATGTTTTTTTTTTTCAAGAAAAAATCATTATAATGTTATCAGATTTGTTTAGACTTATATCAAGTCGCTTTTCGCTCTGTTTTCGGTTTCAATTTGGTGGATTTGTTTTTTTTGCTCGTTTCTTTTTGTTGTTTTAGATGTTTTTCAATTTGATTTACATAAATAAAGGTGTAGTACAATTAAATTGAGAAAAAATTATACACGTTGATCATGAGCTATTTACCATTCATTTTTTTTATTTTGATTATTGTCAATCTTTATCATCCAATTTTTTCTTCCATGATTTGGCATGCTATATCATCACCACAGCTGGAGAATCCAATCAAATTCAAAAAATCAAATTCAAAAAAAAAGTTTGTTTTCCTTTTGTGGTATATATTTCATGATTTTAGAATACACGAAAAATTTGTCTGGTTTTCTTTTTTGAAATGAAATGATTATGTTTATAAGACTGATATGATAATCCAGTGCTCCAATGTGAGAAATTGGGCTATGCGAAATTCGAATAGATATCTCATTTGGACGAACCGCCTCAAAATATAGCCTCCAAGATAATATAAGTCAATAACACTCGCCAGAAACTTTTTTCGACCCTTTTTCCCTTCACTGTCATTCTTAGTCTCTTTCATGTCGATCTTTATTGAATTTAAATGATTCTCATCTGAAATCAATGTAATTGTAAAAACTTCCTTCTTCGTATTGAACTTTTCCGCTTTTTTTCATTTTGTAAAAAGATCCTTCCAATTGTTTTTGATGACAAATTTTGCCCTTTTGAAACTTTGAGAAAGACTACAAAATGGAATCGTAAAAACTTCAGTTGTTTAATTCATTGGTACGTCAAAGGATTTGCTATGTGTTATTTATTTTCTTAGTGGTATTATGAAATTGTATCGCACTAAAAATTAAAATCAAGAATTATGGACATGCATTGCTCCACAGCCTTCATATCTTGCGATCGTTTGTTTCTGATTAATATTTTACGTGTAGACTCTTCTAGATGGGCAGTGACTGGACCTGACTTTGAAGGTAATATATCGATGTCAGCCCTGAGTACTAAACCAGAGTACCAATGGGCGACGTATTATAATAAAAACCTTAAAAAATAGCAATTACAACTCAAGGCTCAGTTTCAAGAGTCAAGTTACATATGATTTAGCATATGTAACATGTGCAGAACTTAAATCAAAGGGTGTGAACATACATAACTTTGATGCAAACCAAAGCTACATATATTTCACAGCCGTAACACATATGTAACAAGTGAAATATACTTATAATACAATAGTAACTGTCTTACTGTAATTAACCTAACCATAGAACCACAATTTGTGCGCACTTGTAGTCCAAAGATTTCCAAGGTTCAGACTATATAAACCCTGGAAATCCAACCAAATTGAGAAGAAGAACATTGTCACATTATTATTCAACAACTACACAACTTTGCTTTTATTCATCTTCCTAGAACCTTTAAACTTTGCTTTTCAATAACCAAACTTTAAAGGCCTGATTCTACAAACCTTGAAACTCAAACCTTGTGTCTTGTTGCTTATTCTGTGTGCTCATTCAACTTTGTTTCTGATTAGACTCCATAATCAGTATTTCTGGTAATATCCATTTGGTGGAATTACTTGTAAGGAAGTAGTCCTTGAGTATTGCTCATATCAGATTTGGGATTCATCTGATATAAGAAACTCTAAATCTACGGGGAAATCTCTATTAGTCAGAGTGTAAAGTTCCCGGTGTTATAATAGACCTTAACACCACCTTCTTTGACCTTTCTTAGAATAGAAGAGGATCAAATTAGGATTGAGAACTGCGCGTCAGTTGCTCTTCTTTTTAATTATTGTAAAGACAATAATTAACCCAAAATCCCTGGGCTAAAGCCTTTGTTTAAAGGTCAACTAACTGCAGTCTTTACTTGTTTATTGCAAGTAAAGCTCTTACGCCCACGTCTCTACCCATTCACACTTGTAGATCTTGATCTACACGACTTTAGTAGAAGTTATTAGACTTTCTACAACATTTTTATTGACTCTACTAGCCTAACAGACGCTAGTAGGCTCACATTTGGGGGCCTCATCCGGGTTTTAGAACCTTTATTCATTTTTTTTGAGCGTGTTATAGCTCAGTCTCAATAGTAAACTTAAAAGAAAAAAAAGCATTTCATTTCATTCTTTTAATCAACCTTTAAATGCAAAAACTGAGGAAAGCTCAGCATTTTTTGATTTTAGGATAATAGCTTGGAGGAAAGAAAGAAATTCTTTCCCCCCCCAATTTCGCATTTTTTTTAATTTTTTTAATTTCTTTGAGAAATAGGATCAATAGTTGATCCATCTACATTTCAATTACATATAGTTCATTGTTGAATTATATATAATAAAATTATTATTGTGTTGTGTAATATAGCCAAACACGTGGCTTACATATAATTACACCCACAGACCACTCGGTGATCTGTGTATTTAATACACCCACGCGGCAATTATACGAAAGCCCCGCGCGTGGTCCGACAGCCACCACAGTACATTGACATTGCTCAATTTCGAAATCAGCTCAGCATTTCGAATTCAACCACCTACCACCCTATCACCAATACCATACGATCGATCGATCGATTGAATTACCCGGTATTGTATCCAACAAGACCTCTTGCTGTGAAGAAAAGGAAAAGTCAGTACGAGTTCCTTTGATTAGAAAATTGAAGAACTCACAAGATCGATCAAACAAAACTGATACAATTGGTTTATTGATATTTCTTCTTTGAAACCTTCTTTGCTTTTGATTCAGTGTAAATTCAATCAACAAGCAATTGACTCCACAGGACCATCAAGTGGTGAGTGAAATTGTATCTACTGAAATCGACCAACGTCTATCATTGCCCAGAATCACATTGGATTTCATTTCTTCTACATAGTATCATCGGATCAAGTAAAGTGATTTATCAGACTCAGCTTGATAATCAAATAGATCAATAGCTGATTATATCTTTATTTAATAGTTTCTTTTGTCTCATCAACGTTATAAAACCGATTGATTGATAATCATATTGATTTTAGATTTTCTTCCTTATCTCGATTGTTCTGAATTCAATCAGAGGATATACTCAATCGAGTGATCACCTTTAGATTTTTTAAATTGAAACGATTTTTTCTGAAAGAAGCTTAGAGTAAGCCGCTTCCGTTTCAGTTCTATCAAAGTTTATGATAGATACTGATATAAAGAATTATTATTCTCCCATTTGTCTATTTGCTTGAATTTTAATAGGACTAACCAATTGACCACATCGACTGCTTGACTTTTGAGATATTTTCTTTTTTTCAAATTATCTTAATAAGACCATAGGAATACTTTAGACGCGTTTCTAACCACACCACTACCTTTTGATCAACATGGTTGCCTTGATCTTTTCTTTTGATTAGTGTAATTCAATAGAACCGATTGATCACTTGGAAACATAGGAAAACAAGTCATTGCAAATCTCAGCAAACAGTTGATGATTGTTTCTTTTTAATCTTGAATCATTTTTTTCACTCATTGAGTTTTAAGAGTGTTACCTATTGGTAAAGACTCGTTCAATAAGTGTACAGAACTATTCTAGTAAAACAATAACTTGAATATCAAGATACTGTCAACAAGCACGTTAATAGAACGTCGAGTGAACTAGGATTCACGGAATCTTCAAAGATCAAATCAAAAGAATAAAGAGGTGATTTCAAGATCAAGGCGTGGCTATTACTAACCAGAGAGGATTTAACAGAAGTTGAACGGTAACTGGAGTAATATGGACGCGGATGATAGATTGAAAGCAACTAGTTTAAACTAATGTTTAGATTAATGATCTTCTCAGGAATGCAGAAACAAAAAACTAAGAGAAAACAAGGTGGTTCTTATACTCAAAACAAACATCACTCGAACAAAACAATTATCAAATATCTGAAATAAGAACACGGAAATCCGTTAAGATGACATTTAATAAATCCCAAAGAGATCATCCACCAAACCTATAGTTCCCTTTTCAAGTAGTATCCCAAAATCAAGGAGGTCATCACCCCATCCGGTCGTATGTAATCCCAGACCATTGGACTAACGTTTCCCAGGCGTTTATGTCCGAATTGGTTTTAGATGAATTTGAAACTCGAGCTGGGTCCTCCAACCAACTCGAGAGTCAAGAACTGAGACTTCTACTCCCTTCAGGGGATCATAACTTCTTTAATTAATTCAATCTTACTTTCCACAGTTAATTTGAATTAGTTAATGGATGTTATATAAAAAAGATATTATGAAAAATTTAAAATTATATGTAATGTAGAAAAGAATGATTCTGATGTAAAGTGAGAAAAGAGTAAAGAAAATATGACAGTAGTCTTTCATGTATGGTTCCGCGCTTCCATTTGTTAGTTAGAGGATATGTCACGTAGGGACATATGCCCTGGCTGACACTCCCTCAGACAAAAAAAAAAGAACGAAAAAAATGTTTAAATCATTTTTTAGTGATTCTTTCTTCCCGTGCTTCTTTTCTAAACTTTTGCAATAATGCCGTCCCGTTTGGGATTTCCTCCTCTTGCACCCATCTTGATAAGTCCGGTGACTTATTCTTGAATGAAACAAGAAACTGACGGACTTTTTTGTTCCCTTTTGTTACAACGCGTTGTTGTAACACTCGTTGTATTTCTCCCTCTTCCTCTGTTATCTCTGGAGCTGCTTTTTTATTGGCGGTTCTTTTTGGAAATTTCTCAGAGTCTGAAGACAAATACATTTTCATCAAAGACACAGGGAACACTGGATGTCTTCTTGAGTAGGATCCTTGTAGATCTAATTCCGCAGCGTTGCTGCCAACCATCTTAACAACAGTAAATGGTCCAATAAATGGATCCTTCAATTTCTGGTTACAGTTCAAATTATTGAAGTGAATGGTTGACAATAAGACCTGATCTCCTGCTTTAAAAGGAGGAGTCGT